TGTAAACATTACCCACTGACCATTCGAAGAGTTTACTCAACAGAATCTCTTGCATTGCGACTTTTACCAGTTTGAACGTATTAAAAAATCTATTTCATTTTGTTGTTTTATGGTATAGTAAAGCTCAGAGTATTAGAATGTTATTACCATATGCGTGAGACGAGGTCTTCAAAAAGCGACTCAAACTGCTTCAAACTTTTATTAACACGGATTAGGAAATTAATACATTAATTTAGAGAGAATGAGTAGTTTATTTCTGATTATGGTTATGTTACATCTGGTATATGTATTTAGTAGTCTGTGAACTGACTTAACAACCTGCTAACCTATTCACCACCAGTTTAATTTGAATGTGATCATGCAGTTTAGTTTGCCTACTGTAGTCCAGAAATCTTTACGTAGAACTTTATTCTTATTAATATTTATGTATATGTTTTATATAATAAGTAAATAACAATTAACTATTTTCAACGCTTTTTATAACAATTAACATATTAAGGGTATTCCATAACATTAAATTTAACTAAGAATTAACGAATCTTGCACGCATTTATCTGAAAAAAGGGAAAAAAATTATATTAACCCCAAAACATCAATAGTTATCAACAGATGGCGATAAACAACTAAATCCAAGTTTGTTTGTTTTTTTGTTTTTGTTAATATTAACACAACATCTCTCCCTCAATCAGAGGTTTCCCAGTGATAGGGGTTTGAGTAAAGAATTTCAGATGTATCCAGTTTTGGTGAAACTTATATAAGATTTATCAAACAATATATGTGAAGATTGCAATTTATAGTTTCCTATCGGACAAAAACTGACTGGCTACGTCATCAGCAAAAATCCGTAGTTAATGACAATATTTATTGTTGTGTAACTGACGATTCTGTGCGTGAGTCTTCTTCTTCGCCCATCGTTGCATCTTTTTATTTTTATCTGTTGTTTTCAGACCAGAGCCCAATTGATCTTCAGTAGATAGCTCCAAGCCCCGCTGACCGTGACTGGAACTTTGCTACTCTTCGGCATGTCATCACCAGTCACCGTTATTCCCTCGATTACCTGAACGTGCCAAGTCCTTCTACCTCCAACCTGTGTAGCCGCTGTGAATGTGATCATTATGGACTTTTTTTCTTTTTACAGCACACGTTGAGACAAGTATACTTATCAAACCCAAAGACGCTGTGGCGGCATAAAAATATAGGTTTGGTTCTAACAAGGAGAATAGATATAGTAATAAGTAGCCTTTCTTCAGATCAATAGATCAAGAAAAGGTCTCTAACTTCAACCAGATAATGAACAAAGGTCGTATAATTTGATTTGAGAATTAATAAAGAGATAACCAATTCATGTATGTGACCGTTGTTGGTAATTTAATGCGTTTGTTTGTTTTGAATTTCGCGCAAAACTACACGAGGGCTATCTGCGCTAGCCGCCCCTAATTTAACAACGAAAGACTAGAGGGAAGGCAGCTAGTCATCACCACCCACCGCCAACTCTTGGGCTACTCTTTTACCAACGAATAGTGGGATTGACCGTCACATTATAACGCCCCCACGGCTAAAAAGGCGAGCATGTTTGGTGTGACAGGGATTTGAACCCGCGACCCGCAGATTACGAGTCGAGTGCCCTAACCACCTGGCCATGCCGGGCGCGCCAATTTAATGTGACCACTTCAAAACCCTGTCTCTTGGACTACTCATAACACCTGAGATATATGTTTCAGACAATTAAAGAATAATAAAATAATAAGTTAATTTGTTATTTCATTATATCCTGTATAGATGTAAAATGTTATATCTTAAGAAAAGAAAACTTAACACTATCAGGTGATGAAAATAAAGCTTACTTTATCAAAATAAAAACACAAATGCTTCATTGCCGGTGGCTTTCTTATGGCTCGGCATGGCCAGGTGGTTACGACGCTTGACTCACAATCTGAGGGTCGCGGGTTCCAATCTCCATCCCATTAAAAATGCTTGCTCTTTCAGTCGTGGGGGCGTTATAATGTGACGGTCAATCCCACTATTCGTTGGTAAAAGAGTAGCCCAAGAGTTGGCGGTGGATGGTAATGACTAGCTGTCTTCCATTTAAATTAGGGACGGCTACCGCAGACAACCCTCTTATTATAGACAAACACTTAAAACATCAACTAAACAACAACAACCAATCCAAACCACAAATTATGAACTGCAAGTAGACCAACAAAATACACAAACAACTGAATCTCAAGCAAACAATGTTACAAAAACAGAAAAAAAACCTACATATTCATGAAAATCATCAAAAACATTTTCACATATTTCACCAAAGAATATTCACAACCAACACAAACCAAATACTGCATAGAACTAATAATACAAATAGCCAAAAAAACACATCATACCATACATACCACAGATAATCCAATCAATCACTGGATCCCTACTCACATAAAATTCAGTTTTACATATCAACATCCAAAGTGCACTTGCTTCCAAGAAACATGAGACTGAAGATATTACTAACATAGCTAAACCTGATATATGTGTAATAAGTGAAACCTGTATATATCAAAACCATAGATTCAGAATCAAAGGCTATTTAACAATAAGAAAAGATAGAATAAACAATAGAGACCAAACAGAGGAATCCTACTGTTGTATAAGACCGATCTTATTGTAACAGAAGTACAAATTACTTAATCAAATGAATGTATAGCCGTAGATGTGCTAACAGAAAACGCATATATTGTAACAGCAGCAGATGTCTATTACTCATCAAATAAAACATAGACACTGACCTATTGTGCCAAATAAATAATCATAATACAAATAATATTATAACAGGCGACCTAAATAACAAACGTACAATATTTAACTGTAACTCCACAAACCTAAATGGAGGAATATTATACAGACGATTATTAGATACTAACACAGTGTTACTAAACGATGCCATCCCAACACATAATTCTTATGCACATGGCACCAGTGATATACTGGATCTTTGCCTGTGTTCATACAATATGAGTCAAAAATTTGTAAATTTTCAAGTAGGAACCGACATAGACAGTGACCACCTTCCAATCTGGAGCACCTTCAATTTCACCTCCCATACAAATAAATCAATGCAAACCGAAAAATTCAACTACAAAAAAAAAGCAAATTGAATCGAATAATCAGTAATAGACAAAATCTTATCAAAACAAATAATAACAAATGTCGCGAATACATATTATCATACCATCACTGAGTGCCTTATCACAGCAGCCAAACAAACAATACCAAAACATAAACCAGCAAAAACAGCACAAACATGGAAACCACGTGCAAAAATAATAAATATGATAAAAAAACGAAGGCAGTTCCGTAGATAATACATACAAAATCGAGACCCCACGCTAAAAACACAAATAAATGTTCTAAGAAATAAAATAAGAAAAGAAGTTCGAGAACTAAAACAATATAGTTGGGATCATTTCTGCTCCCAACTTAACGACAAAACAGATCAACAACAATTCTGGACACATCTAAAACGATTCACAAACACAGGAAACCCAAGTAGCAATCACCCCCCACTTGAAACACAAAATAAAATAGCATACACAAACTCTGAAAAAGCGGAATTATTTAAAGAACACCTCAAAAACACACCAAGAACCTGATATG